AGAATACAGTTTAGCAGAATTGGCAGCAACCGAACAAATTTACTTTCAACCAAAAGACAAAACAAAGACAAATATATTTCACAGTGTTAAAGAATACACAGTTTAGCAGAATTGGCAGCAACCGAACAAATTACTTTCAACCAAAAGACAAAACAAAGACAAATACTATTTCACAGTGTTAAAGAATACACAGTTTAGCAGAATTGGCAGCAACCGAATAAATTTACTAAGCAATCTAAGTGAAATGGCTAATCTAAGTGAAATTACGAGTAAATTTATCATTAAGTTAAATATGGAAAATCTTAAACTTACCTCGTTGCGTAGAGTATGAACCTCATTCTGCAACGATACTATCATCTCACGTAGAGCGGCAACCTCACCACGTAAAGTTGACACCTCCACACGCCATGCACCATCGTTATCGCGTAGAGTACCGATCTCCTCACGCAAGGCATTGACCTCATCACGTAACTCCCTTGACTCATCCCGTTGAGGTGGAGGTGGAGAACAGGGAGATAGGAGTCGTGGCATCTTTGCCGGTCGCCTATCATGAGGTGATGGTGGAGAAGAGGCTCGATGATGTGACGGGATAGGTGATGGCTCTCGTTCTAGAGGTGTATAGTCGTCACGATCGGGTGATGGCTCTAGGTGAGGTGATGGCTCTCGAATTGGAGGAAGTGGATGCTGCTCATCATCCGTGCCATCAAAAAAACTCTGACTAGCTTGCCACCAATCAGTGGCAAGCTCTTCCTCCGTGGGTGACAGTCTTTGTAATGGAATGTTGGCCTCCTAAAATATAAAAACTCAAACAAAGTTAAACGTCTACTATTAATAACTTGTTTATATATTATATGAAAGTATTTGTGTTAACTTACATTATTTATTGTGGCATATGGTATTAAGTCTTCCCAATCCAACAGAGTTTTCCTCTTCCAGGAAATAGCCCTGGGAATATCATTTGACGTTTTTATTGCATATGTACGCATGCTGGGGAAAGCCTCGAATATCCAAATCTACAAACAATATAATACAAAATTAGTAATTGTTAAATAATTAATTATAATTTTAGAAACATTATATAGAAATTCTTACCTTAAAGGCCCAAACAAAGCCTGACAAAGTGTATTTGGACCCATCGCCCCGCAAACTTTTGCGGTCATCAAAGGCAGACGACAACTTAGTCCAGGTAGCTTTCCATATACGAACCCCACGGAAACAGATTCCATGCATTCAGGTCCTCTACCAATATTATTAGCTCCCGATGAATAGGTTGTCTGGCCTCTCTGCCTAAAAAGCCGGCATACACAAGTAGTAGAAGGCATACTCGGACAACATCGACGTCTTCCATCCGAGTGAAACCAGCTTTCTTATTAAATAATTTCTTCAGGTCGTCGACATGTAGGTTCGGCTTCTCCATTGACTCATCCGGAAAAACCCGGGATAACCATGATGGGCGGGCGATATGACGAGTGTACCGGCCTACATCATCGTGTCCGAATCGTAGACCAGTGATTAAGCAGAACTCCTTCCGCCCAAAGCAAGTATACGCTGGTGGAAAATGAAACCATATCTCTTCCTCACCACGTTGTATACTGTCGGGTAGATTTGATGTCATGGTCTGAAGCCACAAATGGGTCAAATTAGCATCTCCACCCGGATGCTGTACTCTCAGCCATGGCCCGAAGCAGGTTTCCTCAAACAATTGTCTTTGAGCAGGTGAAAGCTTCTTTGCAATTGTAGTGGCCAGGCTGACTTTATTTCTCAAGGTCAATTGAGCCGAAAAAAATTTCTACAAAAACAATAAACATACCAAGTTAGATATACCAAAAACTACACTGTGAAGATATACCAAAAACAATAAACATAAAAAGTAGTAGTTTATTCTTGAAACTAAAATTTGCAACACTGTTTTGTCTTTTGGTTGAAATGAAAATCGCAACGAGAGAATCGCAACGCGAGATGACAATCGCAACGAGAGAATCGCAACGCGAAATGAAAATCGCAACGAGAGAATCGCAACGCGAAATGAAAATCGCAATGCGATTTTGGTTTCGCGTTGCGATTCTCTCGTTGCGATTTCCATTTCGCGTTGCGATTCTCTCGTTGCGACAGTCATTCTCTCGTTGCGATTTCATTTATCTCGTTGCGACTCTTCTGCAAATTGAAACTTGAATGGATTGCATTACTTCAACCAAAAGACAGAACAAAGACAAAGACAAATACTAACTTGAAAATCGCAACGAGAGAATAGCAACGCGAAATGAAAATCGCAACGACAGAATCGTAACGCGAAATGAAATCTAAGTGAAATGGTTAATCTATTATTGAAATGACCAGTAAACTTATCATCAGTTTCAATATGAGAAACCTACAATAATGCAAACATTTCAAAATAAAAATAATTAAAAAAACTAACCCTCGGAGGTTGATTTTCCATTTCTGAATATTGTGAGGGATTTCTGACCGTGAATGGTTGTGAGGGATTTCGCCGGAGATGGGGACGGAAATCTTCGGAGATGGGGACGGATTTCTTCGCCGTAGAGAGTGAGAGATGGAGATGGGACTGAGTTGTGATTTTAGGTTTTAGGTTATGAGTTGCGATTACGGGATTTTGTCTTAATATTCTTTTTGTAATTTGAAAATAAAATACGCGTAGCGATTATAATGGCGCTTTAAATATCGCGTTGCGATTTACGGATACGCGTTGCGATTTTATGTATTATCGTTGCGATTTACGGATACGCGTTGCGATATACGGATACGCATTGCGATTTACCCATACGCGTTGCGATTTACGGATACACGTTGCGATTTACGGATACGCGTTGCGATTTATGTGTTCGCGTTGCGATTTTCATATTCGCGTTGCGATTTTGGAAAATCGCAATGCGAATTTGTACTATCGCATCGCGATTTTCAAGAATCGCGTTGCGATTTTGGAAACTGATTTGCGATTCTGGAAACTGATTTGCGATTCTGGGGATCGCGTTGCGATTTTTATTTCGCGTTGCGATTTTGTTGGTCATTTTGGCAAATCCAAAAAAAGTTGGTTAAAATCGTATATTATAACTTTTTTTTTGTCACTGAGGCGATTTTCTCTTTCTGTATTAGCAATAAAGAAATCATTTCTAATAGTCTATCACCCAAAATAATAATAATAATAATAATAATAATAATAATAATAATAATAATAATAATAATAATAATAATAATAATAATAATAATAATAACAGCTTGTATTTATCATATCTGTCGATGCTTCACGGGCGGCGATCGTTACATCATGGATGTTTCCTTTTTCCAAATATTTACCCAAGTCAACGTTAAACCAATCACATGACCACCAAAAAAGTTATAATAGTAAAAAACTTCTTGATAATATTTCTTTTTTTACTATTAAATTTAGGGTAAAGTACACATATGGTCTCTCGATTATTGGGTACTAGTTTATTAAGTTCCCAAACTATTAAAAAATATAAAATGATCCTCAAACTATAGATTGTTGCTTTGTTGATTACTTCGAATATTAAAAGTTACAAAATGACTACCCGACTATTTATTATGTTCCAAACTCATCCTTTTCCGTTAAAAAGTAGATGATATTTTGAGCTTAAGGTTAACCTGTTGACTGTGATATGATAAAATCTGATATTAGAATTTCAAACGACTATCATATCCCAATCATCATGTTAACTTCCAACTTAAACAACCGTCATTTTTTTAATGGAAAAGAAATACATAATGAATAGTCGGATGACTATTTTGTAACTTTTAATAGTCGATGGACTTAACAAAGTAACATTATATGGAGGATCATTTATAATTTTAATAGTTGAGGAATTTAATAAAGCAATACCCCACAATCAGGGACCATTTGTATACTTTTATCCTTAAATTTATTTATTTTAGATTTTGAATTTATTTTATTTAAAATGATATATTAAAAAATTTAACAAATAATAATATTTATATTTTTACACATATATTTTAGTATTTATATTTATAAAAAAATCTATTAATCACTTCTTAAGGATAATTTTGTTACTTTATTCATTTTATATGATTTGATACGTGATCAATCTTATTTCTTAAAACTAAATATTTGGTCAACATGAAAAAAATTAATGGGACGATGATAATAATAATAATAATAATAATAATAATAATAATTCATTAAATAATTTCAGTAATTAAAAGAGTATTATTTTTTCTATAAATATTGAATTCAAGCAATTACATCTTACATCTATACATACATTGTCAATAATTAAGAAAAATTATAAACAAAACTATCTTATAATTACTTTATATTATTAATCTTGTATTATTAAAAAAATAGAGAAATGCCTTATTTTCCTCTTCTTTCCGATTGAATTTGTTTTCATCTAGAATTCTCGATGGGTTAGTGTTGTAATTAGAGTAAAATTAAATACCCATTTGGTAGAAAAAAGATGTGAAAGTTGGATTAAGAAAGGAAAAAGCAATCGAATGAAGTGGGTTTTCGTCTAATCTTAAAACTTATCTTTAGTGCTTTGGATTCAAAGATACCCATGCCACGTGAAGACACATAAAGTAGATTTCCTCAGCGTTGCATCACATTCCATCCAACTCTCTGATTTAGCTTTCGAAATTTCCCCATTAACACTATTCTCCCTTCTCAATCTTAAATACAACAATTAATTCTTTGATCAAAAGAATAAAAAACATAACAGGTTGCATTCATTTTTTGGGGGGAAAGAATAAGAAACTCATTTTATTTAACTGTGTACAGCAGCCCAATCTCTACAACCGTCCGACCACACCCCCTGATACAAGCCATCAACCTCCCCGAACCCAAATAATGGACTAGTAATCACCAATCAATCCATACATGACAAAAAAAAAACAGACTACTCGACAGAAGAAAAGAGAGCAGGGAAGCAAAGCTCCGAAAGCAGGCAACTTCACATTCTTAAGCCAAAACGGCAGCCACGAGAGTGGCGGCCACAGCGGTTGCACCAATGAAAAGGCCGTTGGTGGAGGCGGCAGAGGGGGATGGAGGTCCTTGGTCAGCAGAAGGCTCGGATGCTGGAGCAACTTCACCTGATGGGCTCAGAGCAGGAGGGGAAGAGACTGGTGAAGGAGAAGGTGATGAAGTTGTAGGAGATGGCGATGGGGAAGTTGGGGCCGGAGATGGTGTTGGAGACGGGGTCGGTGCCGGGGTTGGTGATGGTGATGGTGATGGTGTCGGGGTAGCTGCTGGTGGTGGCGTTGGTGCCGGTGTCGGGGTAGCTGCTGGTGGTGGCGTTGGTGTCGGTGTCGGGGTAGCTGCTGGAGGTGGCGGAGATGTTTGTGGTGCCGTTGGCGGAGCTGTTGGTGCTTGAGATATGCAAGAGGTGGCCAGAAGACCCAGCATAATCAAAACCTTAAACGTGGTGCAACTCATCTTGGCTGAACTCGAAACTTGGACGGAGAGAAAGGCGAGGAAGCGGCCACCGGGAAGAGTGTTTGGTGATCGGAGTTGTAGAGTATATAGAGGTGAGGGAACTGAATATATAAAAAGGGAGAGGAGAACGTGGGAGTGGACAGCACAGAAAAAGAGGGGTAACAACCAAAACAACAATGCAAATGGATTCTTTTTTATTGTTTACACAAAAAATATGAAATATGTAGCATATATTTATATACTCTAATTACATACATGCAACCGCATGACATGACATGATGGACTTGGCTAAGCAATGCGCTGGGCACGTTTAATTGGCCTCTTTATATAAATATTACCTAATTTATTTATTTTTTTAAAAATAGCATTCGCCTCATATTATTGTTTTAGATTTATATTTTTCAATGTCACGTAGGATAGAAAAGTATATTGTTAAAAGGCTTCTGAAAAAAGTTTATAATCACATCGAAAAGTTTAAAGGACAATAATTTAATTTAAAGTTAAATCTCAATAATTTTAAATATAATTGAAAATATGATAATAATTATAACACTTTTTATTAAATTTAAAATATTAAGAATATTTTCAGTTGTCAACTAATAAAATTAAAAAGCTTGAAACATTTTAGATTGTGTCTAATTTAAAATATTATTTTTATCATTTTTCTATTATATCTTAAAATTATTATTTTTTAACTTTATATTAAAATACCCCAGACGCATCGTGTTAAAAAGTCTTTGGGAATATGTAATACGGTACGGGCCACCTCTTTATTTGCCTGATGATATAATTGCAAGAATATGATAACAATTTGAGCTGAAATGAAAGAAAAATGAATAAAAATTATGAATTTTTTTATGAAAATGTGAATGGTGCCGATTGAATAACAAAAAAAATGGATTTAATCACCTGAAAATAAATATTCAAATAATTTTATAAATCATATGTCTAAACTTAAGATATTTTAAAGACAATAATTACCTCTTTAAATATTGTGATCACTTGATTCGTAATTTTTTTACGCATCATACTTATATTATGGTAAAAAAAATATTTATTTTTTATATTACCAAATTAAATAATAATTTAGTGAAACCATTGAGTGTTAGCATAAGTAGTTGGATTTTGAAATTTGAGATTGTAAGATCAAATCTTACTATGTCACTCCTGATATATAATCTATAAATTTTTATATAAATCTCAATTAAATATTAAATATATTCTAATCTTGAACTGAGGAAATAACATTTGACCTAAACTTTTTTCTTTGCCTCAAAAAATAATCTTAGTAAAAATATTTAAATAGTAAGTTAAAATTTATTCTATTGATGTGTCTCATATTTAAATGGATTTATTAAATTTTATTTTATGTTGCACCTGATTCCATTTTGATCTTTCCTTCTTAGAAGATTCTTGAGGAATCAGATACAAACAGCTGTTCCCCACTCTATAAGGTCTGTGGTTCGGACACCTGTTCTTGATTAGGGGAACTTAATTAGTAGTGTAAATTTTAGATTTACCCGCTGATTTATCGCGTAGTGCCATTAAGGTTAGAACTTTGTCGGTTGCTTAAGGTCAGTAAAATGTCACTTTCTATACAGTAGGGGGTTTGGACAAATTACAATAACTATAAAATATATTTTTGGCCACCGTCTTCTGTCGCCAGACTGTTTTCCGCCTTAATTTTTTCAACAACTTCTTCATTATGGTCGGTGATATTACTTTAATACCCCTTTGAATTTTCTACGGTTAATTAAGTTTAGGTACAAATAATCTCATTGGACACGTGGCGAATACCCATTTGAGTCTGACACTAAAATCGTTTAATATGGGAATTCTGCTGTACGACATCTAAAAAAATGGTTAAAAAATGATGTGATCGGTTAAACAAGTGACCGGTTAAAATTTAAACCGATTATATTATATCATTTAACCGAAAATATTATCAAGTACAATAACATATTAGGTAGCGCTTGTATAATGTAATAGGTAGCGCTTATATAATAAAATAGGCATTTAACCGAAAATATTATCAAGTACAATAACAAATTAGGCAGCGCTTATATAATTTAATAGGTAACGCTTATATTGACCTATTTTCTCATAAAACCGGTAAATTTAAACCGGGTATATTATAAATTGACATATTACATTATAAATATCGGTTTTGATGTTTTCGGGATCGATACAATTTTAAATGTATCGATACTTTATGCGTGCAACTCGTTTGTGCTTTATTTTGGAAAAAAATATCGACACATATTTAAAGAGTGTCGATACATAATGTATCGACACAAATTAAAAAAGTGCCGATACTTTATGTTGACCTATTCTCTCATGAACCCGATATATTTCTACCGGTTATATTAGAAATTTACATATTACATTATAATTATCGGTCTCTTTGATTTTGGGATCGATAATTGTTATAAATGTATCAACACAAAATCTAATAGTGTCGATACTTTATGTTAACCTGTTTTATAATTAAATGATATATGTATACTGGTTACATTGTCAATTTACCTATTACATTATAATTATTTGTCATTAAAATAGTCTAATTTTACCACCTACATTGTAATTTTACCTATTACTTTAAAGTTATTAAATTCCGTAGTTATTGTACATACCTGAATATGTCATGCAAATTTAATGTTGTACCCACCCTTCAACTACCACCACTACCAATACCACATCCTATTGAAAGCACCACTGAAACATGTTGTTCAATAAACCTTTACTTACATACATCTCCATCAACTCCTGTTGGGACCACTGAAATTGCACAACAAAATTTTTGCCATGGATCATACTGATGCAGACAATGTTAAGCCAACCGAGGAATGCCATAAAGTACATAATGTTGATGAATCTGACATATTGGTTGGTAAACTCTTCTCTTCACGTGATCAAGCTTGGTACTTTTACAAGGAATTCGCACGGGAACATGGGTTTAGTGCACGTCGGGGAACAACACGGCTTGACATGGAAGGGAATGTGAAGACACAAGAATTTTGTTGTTCCAAAAAAGGGTTTCGAGGATCAAAAATTAATACTGTTGATCGTCAACGTGCTCATATGCCAATCACAAGAACAGGATGCAAGGCTAGAATCGTAGTTACAACAACAAATACAAACGATTAGTGGGTTATAAGTAAGTCTTATCAGAAACATAATCATGCATTGTGCACACCTGCTATGACACTATTTATGCGTTCTAATAGAGCTGTAAGTAAGGCTGATATCGATGAGGCAACAGCATTGAAAGAGGTCGGTGTTGGCACGTCACAAGTAATGAACTATTTAACGCAGCAGGCAGGGGGCTATCATAATGTTGGATTTACACATAAAGACCTCTACAATGCACTTCAAAGAGGCAAAACAAAGGAAATCGTCAATGGGGATGTGAATGCGCTTATTGCTTACTTTGATTATAAGAAACATGATGATCCCGGGTTTTTTGTGACATACTCGGTAGACGAATCAGGGGCGTTGCATAATCTTATTTGGTCGGATTCTACATCGAGATCATATTACATATGCTTCGATGATGTAATTGCTTTCGACACAACGTACAAAGATAATTTGTATGGTCGACCAATTATGCCTATTGTCGATGTCAATCATCACCATAACACCTGTAAATTAAAAAGTATAGACACTAATTTAAAAAGTGTCGATACATTATGTAGACTTATTTTCTCATAAAACCGGTAAATTTAAATCGGTTACATGTAAAGTGACCTATTACATTATAATTACAGGTTTCGATTTTTAGGATCGACACTTTTTCTAAATGTATCGACACTTTTTCTAAATGTATCGACATTTTTTCGTGAACTTGTTTCGAAAATTTATTATGGACATAAAGTGTCGACACAAATGTATAAAGTATCGATACATTATGTATACATTTTTTAATAACCGGTATATTTAGACTGGTTATATTGTTATGTTACCTATTACATTATAATTATGTGTTTCAATGTTTTTGGGATCGACACTTGTTATAAATGTATCGACATTTTTTTCGTGCAATTGGTTTTGAAATACATTCTGGAAAACATGTATCGACACAAATGAATAAAGTGTCGATACATATTGTAGACCTTTTCTCATAAAACCGGTAAATTTAAACCGGTTACATTGTAAAGTGACCTATTACAATATAGTTACGGGTTTCGATGTTTTTGGGATCGACACTTGATATAAATGTATCGACACTTATTTGTGAACTTGTTTTGGTTGGAAAATACATTATGGACACAAAGTATCGACACAAATGTATAAAGTGTCGATACTTTATGTATACCTCTTTTCTCATAAACCGGTATATTTAGACCGGTTACATTGTTATTTTACCTATTACATTATAATTATGGGTCTCGATGTTTTTTGGATCGATACTTTTTATAAATGTATCAACACTTTGTTCGTACACTTGGTTTGGAAATACATTATGGATTACATGTAACGACACGAATGAATAAATCAAATTCATTATGCACATTATAATTAATGTTGATATTTCAACAATCATCAAATGTATCGGTGTACAAAGAAGCAAATATGGATACAAAAGTCCGACCAATCAACCAGCAACGATTTGGAGATCAAATGTCGTTATATATTCGGAGCAATCAACCTAAATGAAACATGAGGGAAATCCAGACCATCATAATTTTGAGTAACAAGCAGGCAGACTGGATAGGCGAAGAATGCCTTCCGAATATTATCCATTTCTTCCAGCTCATGAAGATAGGAGAACCGTAAACCGACGCTTTGGGTTTTGTTTCCCTTTGTTGCATTTCCCGTATACCATCCAGATCATACGTCCGAAACGTTTCCGACGTTTTAACTATTTGAGAACGAAATGCATCGTCCGAAACGTATACCATCAAGTATGTTTCGCTAAGAAGGTTTTGCTTCTACATC